CGCCTAGATGACGTCACACATCAGTAGTCGAATAAATCTCTTCGTGAGGATCAATAACCATGCATCATGGCACATGTCATGTACATGTCATTGTCATTAACCATGTTATTCATGATATTCTGATGAAATCAAGGTGCTCTGCCACGCTACGCGGCAGAGCACCTAATCAATGAGATTGTAAAAAGGATTATCGCTGATAACTAGTTTGCTTTTGCATCTGGAGAGTGCATTATTAATCTTGAAAGGAGATTTACAATTTTGCATATGAATTGTTGCAATAAAATAAAAATAGAGTATCAAAGTTTGGGGTAGCTATTGTGATGGTAATATAACTTGGGATATTATGTCCTGGGCCCCGTCTTATAAAGAGTTACGATTGATCCAAACAGGCGCGTACGCAGGATTTTTTCAAGAGGGGGGGGGGGGGGGGTTTAACATTTATAAATCGGGCCGAAAATTTCTTAACGACTCAGCCAGCCGATGAATTAAGGGGGGGGGGGGGTAAGAGGTCACTTTTTTTTTTTTTTTTTGGTCCCAAAAAAATCGCAACGACTCAGCCGACCGCTGAATAAGCGGGGGGGGGGGGGGAGGGGGGGGGGGGGGTAAGAGGAAATTTTGCTCCGTTGGGGGGGGGGGTAAGGTCAGCTTTTTTAGGTCAACCATGGGATTTTTTTTTATTTTTTTAAATAAAAACAAAAACAAAAACAAAAACAATCCAAAGGGGGAGGGGGGGGGGGGTTTAGAGAATTTTAGGGGGGGGGGGGGGGGGTTACACACAAAAAATTACCAAGGGGGGGGGTTTAACCCCCCAAACAACCCCCCCCCCCCCCCCCCTGTGTACGCGCCTGGATCCAAATCAATCGTAAGTTCTCCAATCAATCGCAAGTTTGCAGTGTCCTATTTTTTATGTACATAGTTGCGATTGATATTGACTCTTTGTAATACGGGGCACTGGATTACATAAACCCTTTTCTTACTGGGGAAACTATATATTGCTTGCTTTTGTACAAGTTACGTTGATTTTCCTAGATACTCATTCACAAAAGAATGATTCAGTGGTACATGAGCATAATTTGCTTAATCTAAAAGGCACAGAATGCGTTGACTTGATGGTGTATATATTATTTTATTCATTTTCATATACTATTTTATCTTTAAGTTTTATAACGATATGTTTTCCACTTGCATGTAAAAACAAGATGAATCCCCATTATCATGATTATGTAAATAACGATAATACATGTAGATTTTGGTAGATAATAACCAATGACTAGTAATAACGTTTATTTATTATACAAATTAATATCATTTTAGTAACATAAAAGATAACACTGTTCTCAACCTTTTAGCGCAGTAATGAAGCTATCGATATGACGTCTCGTGTGCAGCGGGCATACTTTTTGCAAAATTCAAAGAATAATCGTTTTTTTTTTCTTTTAATAACCATTGCTGTTTGATAAAGCGTTTTGCGGTTTATTTAATTAATTATTGTTTTGGTGAGGTACGCTCACAATTTAATTTTAATATCATTTTCAGTGGAAACAGTAAACTCGAACACAAACTCAGTGAAGGACTACTGTGCACTTTAATAAGAAATTAAAAAAACAGACAAAAAGGAATCGCAGACAGTCAAACGGAGAGATTAAAAGATCTAGGTCTGTAATCAAATTTAAAAAAATAATAATTTAGCGGTCGTAATGAAATCGGATATACTACACATTTAACTTTTATAAGCAGATAAGTGTAGAGTCAGTTAAATGGGATTGTAACACAAACTTGATAATAATTTGAAAATGTAGCTTAGCATTTATTCACATGAAATACAACACGAATATTTAGATGAATACAAGAACGATGCATAAAATGCATTGTCGCTCCCCCCCCCCCCCCCTCCACACACAAATACTCATTTCTCTTTAAAAAAAAAAAAAAGTATTTCCTTCCTCGTATGGAGAGCTTACTGTATTCCATCTTGCAATCCCGTTAATTAGCCCGTCCCACCGATTTCTTTCTCCGTTTACTTGCCTTAATTTCACCTTGGTATTAATTATCGTATACAGCCCCCCCTCCTTTCTGTCCGTCTCCCCCCCCCCTTTCCCTTAATCTGTCCCACTCTCTCTCTCTCTCTCTCTCTCTCTGTCCATGTCTGTATCTCTCCCTTTTCTCTCACTTTCTCTAGTTTTTAATAAGTTCCTACCTCTCTTCCCTGCAGACTCTTCAACTCCCTAACACTCAAAAAGATACCGCGGTTAATTGTCAAAATTCACACCAAATAAAATTTAATGGTATTTTTCAACACGTTTGTAGAAACTTTGCAAAATGCAATGGCAAATATTCATGAACATGTGCAAGGAACGCAACATTCTATGAATTCAAATACAATTTCAGATGTAATAACGCAATAAATATATTGAACTTGAATAATTTCTGAATTGCTACAAATTTGCAAGCTAATATTACAGGAATTATCTACAATACAATGTAAAAACATCTTTCAAAATATGAATCAAATTATTTTTAGATAACAATTTTTGGACAAAGAGAAAAGGCCAATTATATTCCTAAATTATTTCTTACAGAGTGTATATACATTTTTTCTCCATCTTTTGCATTTTGTTTTTGATTAGGTTCAAAACAATAATAACAGTTTTGCATAAACCTACATTACAAACTTAACAAATGCACTACTTATATTTTTTTCAATTCATGAGGGGAATAGTTTTCTTAGCACAAGTCTATATAGCGTTTCAACACTTGATGGCGCTAAACAACCGATTGAACACTAGTCTCAACATCAGTGTGATTCCTGACGATTAAACAAAAATATTGGAACCAACTGAACCAAAATATAGATCAATTCAAATCAAATTCAAGTTATATCAACTCAAATCATTTTTAATATTTCAACTCATTGACATGTATGCTTGTTTGATTAACAAATTTAAAAAGCATGCTTCCCTTTTTTCTTTTTCCCCCTTTTATCCAATTTGGTTCTATATACATTAAATAATTTAAATACATTTAGGTAACTTTAATTTAAATTGTTACTGAATTCTCATGAATGACTTTAAAATGAATAAATAAATTCATAACTTTTACTTTAAGCACTTAAAGTAGATAAATAACATCCCATTTTAATTTTATATGTCTCCATATCCTACATGTCCTAGGTATAACAATTGTACCTGTATAATCATACACTCTCACAGACAAGGTATTTGTTTCATATATGCATAGAATAGATCATAGGAAATCTACATATCAGTCATGTTGAAACTTACTTGAAATGTACAAATGTAACTTTCAAGGTATGTGCACTTAACTATGAACTGGAGAAATTCCAAAGCTCCCTATTAACTACTCTTGTGGAATGTATTGTTCACTAAACCTATAAACATATCTGCATATTGGAGGATTGATCATGAAATTAATTTGTGGTTTCCATTCTTAACTTCTTCATTTTAACAATCCGCCATTCATAACTGTAAGCATCCAATACAAGTTCCAATACTAATAAATTACATGGGCATTAACCTAATAATCTTTATGAAAGAATGAGAAGGAAAAAAATCCTTGGTCCCATTAACAATAAGCCTACCACTGCAGTTTATAATTTATAGTAACTGAAGTCATGCAAAAACAAACCTTCCTTTCTATTAAAAATATTGATAGACAAAAATACACAAAGACCTATTTCGATGTCATTTAAGAATAAAGATGATATTGAAAATCAATAAGTTCATCAATACAATATTTGTAGATATTCCCATCATTAAGATAATTAATCGATGCAAAAAATTAATTAAATATTATAGACTAAGACTTACAGTTCATTGGTGTTGATACTGCTCACTTGAGACTGCACAAGTTTCTTATTGCACTGTGTGTTTGCACCTTGACATTTTGGCTTATGGTACCTGAGAGAGAAAAGGCGACTCCATGCCTTACCACATTGATCACATACATAGGGCTTCTCACCTGTATGGATAAGTTTATGTCTTGTGAGATCACCCACCTGATTAACTGCCTTATCACATTGATCACATACATAGGGCTTCTCACCTGTATGGATGCGTTTATGTGTTGTGAGATGATGTTCACAACTAAATGCCTTACCACATTGATCACATACATAGGGCTTCTCACCTGTATGGATGCGTTTATGTGTTGTGAGATGATGTTCACAACTAAATGCATTACCACATTGATCACACACATAGGGCTTCTCACCTGTGTGGATTCGTTTATGTTTTTTGAGATCACCAGCTTGATTAAATGCCTTACCACATTGATCACATACATATGGCTTCTCACCTGTATGGATTCGTTTATGGGTTGTGAGATTATGTTCATTATTAAATGCCTTACCACATTGATCACATACATAGGGCTTCTCACCTGTATGGATTCGTTTATGTTTTGTGAGATCACTCCCATTATTAAATGCCTTACCACACTGATCACATATATAGGGCTTCTCACCTGTATGGATGCGTTTATGTGCTATGAGATTACCTTCACGATTAAATGCCTTACCACATTGATCACATACATAGGGCTTCTCACCTGTGTGGATTCGTTTATGTTTTTTGACATCACCAGCTTTATTAAATGCCTTACCACATTGATCACATACATAGGGCTTCTCACTTGTATGGATGCGTTCATGTCTTGTGAGAGCATTCACTTGATTAAATGCCTTACCACATTGATCACATACATAGGGCTTCTCACCTGTATGGATGCGTTTATGTGTTGTAAGACAATGTGCATTACTGAACGCTTTACCACATTGATCACATACACATGATTTTTTTGCTACATAATTCTCTTTATCTTTGACAAGATTATTGTTAAATGCATTACCATATTTACCACAAACATATGGCATATTATCGACTTTGGTGCTTTCAAGTTTATTAGGATTAATTTGATTAATAAATGTTTCATCTCTACAAGCAGGTTTGATTTGTTTTTCTTATTTTTTTCATTTGACAAATCATTGCTGGCTTTATTCTTTGAATCACAGCCAAAGTTAATTTTCATCACTCTATTAATAGATTGAATAGGTTTTTGTATTTCTCCTTTGATGAACTGTAGAATTTCTTCCTTTGATGCACCTGCCTGTGGGACGATACCATAGTGTCCATGTTTCCACTTGAGATGCCTTGCTAAGATGAGAGGAATTGCGTAGAGTGATCCACAGTACTCGCATCTATAGAGGCCAGAATCTAAAATAAGATAAAGTATATAACAAGGTATGATAATGATACAACATAAATAAGCGAACAAAACAAAAAAATCAAATCACAATTAAAGCTAGTAAGTGATTGTTGTTGGGTCTTTTGATTAGTTTGTTTGTTTGTTGTTTCTGCTTTCATTTGGGGGGCATGGAATAATTAAAGTTCATGAACATATCTAACTGCCTATTGATAAGCAAGGCAATTTCTCCTGTTATTTCACACCAAAAGTTTCCTAATCAAGTACCTGTTTCAATGTTGAGTTTATTGAGCTGCGATGTGATACCAAGATCCTTTGCATACTGCTCCCCATAGTAGACCAGTAGCTCCTTCCTGGACAGATCGGTTTGAAGGTACGGTAGTAGATATCACCAAGATACTGGAATGCTACAAGGTTCTGTTCACCCTCATTGCGTGCACAGTTGATGTAGCGCATCCAGTTGCCTGTCTGCTCACTGTTGCTGTCAACATAGTGGTGAGGTTTGCCTTCTGTACAGATCTATATGAAAACAAAGGAAGAGGAGAAAAATATTTTAGATTTGAAATCGGAATTGGAACTACCACAACCATACATTATTTTTTGTGCACATAAGCATCATCATTAGCATTATTTTTTTTTATTTCTCTCCTTTCTGTATAAGTGTTAACTTTTTAACACAATAATGTTTTAAACATTATAATCTCATATAAGTGAACCTTAAAAATTCAGATATCTTTTAGGAGTAAAAATGTGCACATTTTTTAAATAGACATTTTATGTAAATATTGAGAAAAATGTAAACATCTCTGAGTGCTAAGACTTTGAATCAGACTTGACATAATTAGCATTTCTATACAAGGAAGGCTCCCCAAAATGATTCATACCTCCCAAGCATATCCGCTATCATATCCAGTCTCCAAGTCTACAATGTCTCCATCGTACGGACCAAACCGGTATCCTTTAGGGATGAACTTGGTAGCAAAGGTCCCATGACCAGCTCCTGGTATTAATGACTGCTTGACCATCAGACCATCTGGTAGAGTCTTCCTTGCTCTGTCTTTAGAGCCTTTAGGGACAGGGTTGTCCTTGATGATGGTAAGGGGATGCTTGGAGCACTGACCTTCAAAGACCTCATGACAGTCCTCACAATCTGAAGGGGAAAAATTATAATAGAAATGATTAACTATTGAACATCATTGTCAATCGTGTTTGTTTCTTACAACCTGTTGTGTTTTCAAGGCTGCATTGAAAGAATTTTGTTCATTAGATGATTCAATTTGATTATATATAATATAATTGTGTTTATTGTGTAAAATGAATTCAGTTGTTTATTTCAATGTTGATGCAATACAATAAAGTATAGTCCATATAGAGGGAAAATTTTCTCAAAATGTAACCATCTTCATATTCATATGCAGCCACTTCATACATGGAGATTCACAATAATCAGAATTTGAATAATTGCATAAAAATATCCAAAAATATACATGACCAACAAAAAACAAATAAAAACAAACAAATAGAATAAAAACCAAATTCTATTTTGTGTTAACTTACAGATGTAGTGATCATCGTCAGGAACATCATCTTCTTTGTAGGACTTGCGGCTCACTGCTCTCCTCGGGTATCTTGACTGCCTTTGGGATGGTTCGGGTTTCTCCTTTCTCCTGTCTGAAATGGAAATATGGACAAATTGATTTAATTTATTCCCAGCTTGTTGATGATTTTAGGTTGATACTTTTTTACCTGCCAGACTTGGTATAAATTTCATGTAAATGTATTTTTACAATGTTTCCCTCAATTTATCCAGTTCCCTGAATCTGCACAGCCATCAAACTGATGGTGCTTTCCATGTGTAAATACATACCTTTGTTATTTGATCTAACACAGAGAATTAAGAGGGGGGGGGGCAATAAATGTAGTTGAGACAACAGCATTTGACTGGAAAAGCTAATTATAGTCAGAGACGACAGCATTTTACTAAGGAAAAAACTAAATATAGCTATTTAGACCACAAGCAATTAAATGGGAAAAAATAAATATAGTTAGAGACAACAACATTTTATTATGATGGGTGCAAGAAAGGAAGCTTCAGTATAAGGTAATTTCATGCATTGTGTCCCATGTCCTTTTCCCCCACATATTTAATCAAGTAATAAACAATATCTTGATCTTACTGTTAAATAATGATGCTTTCTGGTATCGCTACTACATGTATTTTTTATACACCTGTGATCGTGCTAAAGTTTTTCAACAAAAATTCTTCATTCATGGATGAAAAATATTAATATCATCATATTGAATCACCCTATTTAGCTTTCATTCAAATGGAAAAGAAACATTAATTTAATGCACAAGAAAATGAAAATCAAATCTGGAAGAAGAAGTCAATATTTTCTTACCAGAGAGAGACTTTGCCTTTCCACCAACTTTCATACAGAATGATCGGGATTGCTTGGGAGTCTGGTCGCCTCCTGTAGCTACTCCTGTCAATGTTTGCTCAGTCTTCTGGTCACCTGACTGAGTGTTGGGATCACCAAATGATTTCCCTGATCATCTGATGAAGCTGTTGGATTGGTTTGTGGTTGGGTGGAATCGTCATAGTCCTTCCATTCAAGGAGATCAATGATTCGCTCTCCCCCTATATGATGAGCATCGTTGAGTGGATTTCCGTCATCATCATACACAGTCCCTGTTACAGTGTGCTAAATGAGAAAGAAGAAACAGAATATGAATGTGTTCATGTGCTCCTCTGGCAGTCACACTTATCATCTCTCTCTCTCTCTCTCTCTTTCAAACTTTGTTTTATTACCTATTTCCTACAATGTAATGCAATTGATAAGATGGTTTTCTTCTTCCCTGGGGGAAGTATTTGGGAAAAAGGGTTTATTCACTTTTTTGGTATGGTACATATACATGTACATGTACATGTATCTTCATGTGACAGGACTCTTTAAATGAGGAATATCTTGATTACATACATGTACATAAGCAAATAGTGATTTTTAAATGTGTGTAGTGATCATCATGAATAAACATCTGATTGATTAGATAATATTTACATGTACAAGAACCTGTGCACACTTACTGGTTTAGGTTCCGGCTGTTTCTTTGTGATTACTGGTTTGTTTGATTTGACTGCAGGGGCCTTGAAAGGTGCGCTAAAAGACCCTGTTTGAATAGTAAAGATAATATTAATTTGGGGAAAGTGGAGAGAAAAAAATGCAATATTATATTTGAGCAGTAAAGATAGACTAAGTACAGAAAGTACAGAGAATAAAATAAAAGATCACTGTTTCATTACTAGTTACATATCTTCATTGGATAGCTAAGCATAATACACACAAGAAAGGTAAACGTTTGGATTATAAAGTATATGAAGCGTTCCTGTTTCAATATACATTGTACAGTATGAAGCAGGAAAACAAAACTAATTCAATCAATAGTAAAAAAAAAAAAAAAAAAAAAAAAAAAAAAAACATTGTGTCATCAGTAGGCTCAAATTATACACCTTCATTAGATAGTACAAACATAAACATATTTGGAAAAGGCTATAGCTATCAAACAAGTTTTTAAATGACATTAAAATATCTCATTTGATGTGTAAAGAACTAAAGATAATATCAATATAGTGTTAAGTGAAGAAAATAAACTTTATTTTATCAATGCATATACTATTAAATATACCTTCATAATTTTGACAGCACAAACACCAAAAACATGTTTCAATATAATTTTATTTTAATGGCAAAGGTGCATAAATTCAGGTAAACTGATAAAACAGAATATATCATGTTTATACCTTTAGGAAAAAGCACAATATCACAACATTTAAGTTACTAAATGAATATTTGTTCAAGGTGGTTTAAGAAGGATTCTACATTAACATGTACATTTACATGTTGTTAACATTTATTTTAATTTTCGGCAAAGTAGAAATGAAAGTTTTGTCTTCACTACCAACTATTCTCTATTTAAAACCTCAGCATTCAAACCTTTATTTTTATATATATATATATATATATATATATATATATTGTAACGAAACCGGTTCCTGTCGATGTTCTTCCCAGCAGCTTCTCTTGTCAGGATGCCTTCTGCTGGTAGGTTTTCCTAGTCCGGTACCAATTTCACCGTGGATCCGTTTGGCAGAGATATACTGCCCCGTTGACGTTGACACCAGTCTGATATATTGCTCCGCACCACCTCTCGACCACCGTCCAGTCGACACTACCAAACCGTCTTCTACCAACCGTCTTCTACCAACCGTTGTACCGTCGTATACCACCAGCCGACTAGGCCAGTCCGCTGCTGCACCTCTCAGACGTCTATACCAGTCTGCTTGTGCATGCAACTCCAATTGGCCGCACCAGTTTGCTTCATGCACCTCCAAACAACCAGACGTCTGACTTCGTACAGTCAGCTTACTCGACCATGCCACGGCTCTGCTACACAGTAGTCCCTACCAGCCGTCTACTCCAGACCACGATCACTGGACCACCGAATGAGCAACCCCTGTATTGTCTGATACTAGAACGTAAAAGACCCAACAAACACAACCTAGATTCTAACCATGGTCGTCACCTAAAATCAGACTTCAACTTTAGGTTCCCCCATGGAAAGACATGCAAACGATCATCTCAATCATTTCGTTGCACGCAATACTTTATTGGGCAAATATCCAAACATAATCTAATTGCCTTACAATGTAAGTGTGCCCAGTGGGCGACGGCAATTATGTAGACTATGACAGGAAGCTCTCAGACACGTGAGACAATTGATTTATATACACATTTCTTATACATTTATTATTCTGGTTAGGTTTCCAAAATTACATAAACATTGATATAACTCCACTTTACAATATCAGATTGAAACAAACCATATATCAAATGAAAGCATTAGTTTTATTCTATAAAACTAAACAAAAGAGAACAAGTAATTATTAATGGTAGACAAGTAATTACACTAAAACTGTCAAAAACATGCACAATCGAACATTCTTAAAATTAACACGTGACTATATAGCGTCGTATATTTTACTTGAATTACGCCATCTACGCCGAAATAACTACTACGAAATGAAACCAATTTCGTGACACAACTCCCTTATTTTCCTTATAGTGTGGTACGGTATGTCACTGAAACAGCTCCCGTAGGACTTTTGTGCCAAAATTGATTTTTTGGCATTTTTGGATTGATTGGGGTCCAAGCTATCAGAAATTGATGGGGTTCAAATTTTCCCGACCCTCAACCCCTCTCTGGGGGGGGGGGGGGGTAGTTTCCTATCATGAGACCCCCTAAAATTGGGTGTGTCATTCATCTAATGACTGGTTTCACAAAACTTGAGTTGTTTTCTAGAACTGTGATTATCCCTCAACAGCGAGAAAGGTAATTTGAAGACTTTCAGTTGGATAAACCCTCTAACCAACCCATCCCCATCCCTACCCCACCCCCGTCAGCCCAAATTGCGTACCTTTGTCATTGTTCGGCCAGCTGTTTTAAGGTGTAGCACTTTTATTACCATTATCATATATATTTACTAGCCCATTTCCAAACACAAAGAGACAGAAACAAACTTACACAAACCTTCATGTATACACATCTACCCCCCCCCCACACACACACACACACACGCACGTTCATGCACACACACACCCTTCCTCCCACACGCACATACTCACACACACCCAAACATTTACAGGCAAGTGCGCTCGCGCGCACACAGCACGCACACATTCCTACATAATTATGCTGCTCTGTGATCATTGTTTCCAGCTCTGGTAAAAGTTATTTTGTTCCTTGGTCTTCGCAAGTTTGACAGAATAAAGACCCCTATTTTGCAGTATATTGCCTGATTTTCCAAGGTAAGCATAAACATATAGCCAATGGCAAATCTAGATTTTAAAATTTGTGATGTGGGTCTTCATTATCGGTTAGAGAAGAAGAAAATAAATTGCAAAAACAAGAGAGAACTTTATTACTCTTGATCAATCAATCAATTTAGATGGTTAAATTGACAAATTGGTAAACATTTTATGCATTGATATATATATATATAAGATCATGGACCTATTACAGAAGGACATTCAACGTTATTCTTTCTTTGATCCAATGAGATCCGCCGCCTTCTGATTATGTGCATCTTAATGAGAACATTCAGCTGTTTTAACAATACGACTGCTCAAGCTTTGCTCAACCAAAGAGAGATCACAGTTTTAGTCAAAACTTCCTATCACCCTTGTCAATTGGACTGCCTCTTGCTATCCACCCTCGAGTTCGTGACAAGAACCTTGTTCAAAACCTTTCAGAAGTCTACATTGGAAGTGACTATCACAAGATACTTGATCTAGAAAAGAGAGTTGAGTAGTCAGTTCTTCAACGAATGAAGGATGCTGGGGGTTTTTGTCTTCCTGATTTTGTCAAGAAGGGTGTGAACATCTGGTTTGCCATTGACAAAATTGATCTCTTGGAAGACACACCCACAGGGCAAGGAACCTTTCACGGGACAGTGGTTGTAATCAACCAACAGGCTGTAGATGGAGAGCCAGTGAATCAACCACTTGTCATACCCGAGAAACTTTCTTCGCAAGACCTTCTAGCATTTGAGATGAATGTGCTTCCAGAGCCAGTCATCAGAACTAGCCCACTGAGATTTCAGGCCTACAAGAAGAGGAAACAAAATCTCATTTCTCAAGAATTCACTCATACCTGGGCTCTTGTGAACTACCTTACAACAGATGACAACAGAGAAATCATCCAAACTGAACCTCAGCTGCAAGATGAAGAAGCCCAGCGCAGTGGAGAGATGCCAAGTGATGCAGAGTCTACAAATGATGAGGAAACTGAGCCTTCTAGCAACAAGGGGAAAGCTGGGCCTTCAAAGGACAGAGAGGAAACAGACTCTGTCGTGATCATCAAAAGGCAGGTGAAGAAATCAGATAAACTAGCAAAGAATGATGTTCTTCCAACATGGGCTGCAACTAGGTCCTTATTGTTGTCTCAATCCTCTCCCGCTAGCACGCCTACAAACACAGCGGTGGTTGCCCCATTATTCAAGACATCGCCAACTGATTATGGGACCCTCTATACTGTTCTTCGGTTATCCCAGGGAATATCTGCGACTGTTGTTGGCCCTCACAGAAAGACATTGATAACGCTAGATCTCGATCTTTACTCCCGAGCGTTGAAGATTCAGCAGTCGGTGGGAAACGCCAACTGGATCTTAAGAGCTGGAGCTCTCCACATTGCTTTCGCTGCCTTACATGCTCTTGGCAAAACCATCGATGGTAGCGGTCTTGACACGTGTGCTATCGAATGTGGTGCGTACACCTCAGCATCTCTTCGCAGGATCTGTGGTGGTAAAGCTTATAAGCGTGGCCTTGAATTCCACATTACTGCAAGCCTTGCAATCATGATGTTGCGTTTTGATGCCATACTATCGGATCTTCCCAAGGGTCCAATTCGCATCCAGTGCAATTCTCTCAAAGAAAAACTTCATGGACGTGACCCAGAGATGGTGGAGATCTATGAAGAAATCCAATCCTGGTACTCA